TGGTGCCCGCTAAACGCATTTGCGCCGGCCATATGTCGGGTTGTGACGGTTACCTGAGCATATCCTTCCGTTCGTTATAAAGGCATGGATCTTCACAAGTTTGGTCTTTTTATATACGTAGAAACCTGGATGATATGCGGTCACAATTATATTCGATACACACTTCGACAAAACTCTAGATACAGAGCACATATGCAATATCGGCTCAACAATTGGCGACAGTCACGAATGACGAGCAACTAAGTGCAGTTGCATGTGCATGTCGAGCTCTTTCAAGAGTGTTTGCCGAATTGGCTATGAAAGATTGAGCGACGGGCCATCGCCGATAGAGCAGTCGCCTCATTTTGTATGACCTGCCCAACATAAGCGACGCTAACAAGAAAAAAAAATCACCACCGAAGCACTGCGTACAAGTTAACCAGCGAAAGCTGAAACGTGCGGTAGTGTTTAGCAGTGGGTTCCACCCGACGGGGCACTGAAGCCTTTCACAATGATTGGTCACATGTTCGTACTTCTTAATGAGGTTAGACACACGTCTGGTTTCAGTTTACCACAATGTTTACTTCACATGCCGCACATAGTGCTCCGCATGATCAAGGTCATATAGGAGTGTAATGAGTGGTTAAGTGCGCTCCGCAATGCATTGATCACAGCGGCTGTTCTCGTACCACAGGCGGTCACAAACGTCGCAGCCGAAGTCAAAGAGCCGCTGGGGAAACTTCCGCCGAAAGTGGGCGTTCGCCCCGGCAAACGCATTCCCGCAATCATCACGTTGATGCCGCAATGCCACTTGTTCGACGTATGCATGCATGCTGTGCCATGTCGCCTATAGGCAGATAGACATTTAGGTGCCCTTTTCTCTTCTTCAAGAAACATGGATTCATTGTTCGGCGTGGCGTTGTTGCAAGAGTTTGACATCGCGAGCTAACTCGGCGGCGTGGTTTGCAAGATACGCGGCCATCGGCACTTGCATTCCCGTTCGCGATTTGGCGCGACTTGGAAGGCCGCCGGATCATTGGTACGCAGTTGATGCCGGCACTCGGCTTCTCGGTTCTGTTTTTGTGCCTGGACTATGGCATCGGCCCAGCGAATGCGAGCTCTCTCACGTTTCCACTGTCGCCGTTCTCCTATAAAGCTTTCCGTTGCATGTGGAATTTCGCAGGAGAAACTGATGCGCACGTGCTCGGCGCCATGGCGGCGACGAGATAGATGACGTCACTCACAACGCAGCCAATGGCACGCGTGCTTATGTACAACGCTGAGAAAGATGTAACAGATAGGGCAGCCAATAAAGATTGCTCGTGACACCACCGCCAGACAGTTTTTCGTTTCTCCTAGCCTTAGGGCAGCTTTAGCGGTCAACACCAATTTTCCTGTTCTAGTAAATTTACTCGTTCAAAATACCGAAATCATTACTCTTGCCGCGAGGAGACGCTTGGTAAGAGGGAAAACGTGCAAAGAGAAAATTTGAGAGGCGGCTGCGAAATTCCTGCCCTGATCGATATGACATCATAGATTTTGACGGCGTCTACTGAGTCCTGCGTATCTTAATCAGTGAAAATTAAATACATTGTCCTCGCACAGTCAGAGACGTAACGTACAAAGTTTTAATAAATTTTGTTCAGACAATGTTGCCAAAAATTAAAAAAAATCAATTTGGAATTTGTGACGTCAGGCGCTGAGGTTTTGGCACGAAATTAAAAAAAAATAAAGTTTGGAGATTGATTTTTTTGTTCTAACATTGTCTAAGTTGAGGGTGAAATTTACGACATTAGTGGTTAAGAAGCACAATTACGTTATATATGAAAACTGGTTTATTATATCACTTTATTGTCGGTTGAAGCATGATACGCCTTGTCTTGTCACGCGGGCGCACGAAGTCTCTTTTACCCAAGCGTCAGTTTTTTTTTTTTTTGCTACGTTGAGAAGCATTTTAATGAACAGGTCCACCACGGTGGTGTAGCGTTTATGGGTATCGGCTGCTGACTGCGGAAAGTCATGGGTTTGATCACGGCCGCACAGGTCACGTTTCGATGAGGGTGAAGTCTTATTGGAGCCCCGTGCGCCCGTGCACTGTGCTATGTTGACGCACGTTAAATAACACATGTGGTCGATATTTCCGGATCTCTCCACGGCGTCTCTCACACTATATGCGGGTTTTGAGATGTTAAAGTCCAGATACTGCTATTACTTAATGAACAGGAGTTGCACAGCATACACACGGCACCGAAGGTTGTTTTTTTTTTCAGTGTTTCCTTCCGTAGATGCTATACCGATAGCGTAGCGCTAGCTTTTAAAACAAAACAAACTTCGATTCCTGAAAAAGCTTCTGGAAAGGAGATCGCTCCCTGTTGCAAGTCTGCGCGTTGAACCTGTTCTTACGGTGGAGATATTTTTGCTCAAAAGAATTACAAATGCGAGCGAAGCAGGCTTTTAAGGTGACCATATATATATATATATATATATATATATATATATATAATATATATATATATATATATATATATACAATGAAGACGGTGTCCTTAGATCCAGTGGAACAATAATATGAAGTAAGGGAGTAAAGGACGAGCTCAACAAAAAACGTTTTATTTTTCCTATGTTTCAGCCGAGGACCGGCCTTCACCAGGGAAAGCACGATACAAAATCCTCTTTTCTTAAGTAAACATGACATGTAAGGGACCCCTATTGTAACCAAATGAGTTAAGGGCCCTTATATGCCATGATTTATGACTTTATACCTATTGAAGGACTGGAAAACGACGTAGAAAATTGTACACGCTTTGACTTTGACGTCTTAAGAACCTTATCGGACCTCACCCTTCGATTAGACGAATCACAAAGGAGGCCACTGTGTGCACTTGCACAACCAACCGGAAGTTCAATGACGAGGTCTAAACCGAGCTTGACTTATCCGCACGACGAAGGAATGGCCGAGGATGGAAACGGAGCCAAAGGCGTCATTGTAGGGAATTCTGTTGTCGATTCACAACATGGCCTTAGCAATGCAATTCTTAGAGTAAGTGGTTCACGGCGACGATGAAGTGACACAAGCTTTGACTCAGCAGAAGTCGGTAGGATCTAGTCCCCAATTTTGGTGAAGAATACCATCTTAGGACTTCGTAGCCTCTCACCTGTTGCTTTAGAAGTCCTGAAGAAATTTCCAGCTATTTGTTTATTGAAGCTCTCGACATATCCGACTCCATTGCTATAAAAGCCTCAAACATGTGTCAAGAAGACAAAAGTAGCAAGCCAAAGAAAAATTTAAGCTCACGACAAAATGAACAGGCTAAGACTGTTAAAGAGGACTCGTGCAAATCCCTATCACCAATACGTATGAAGATCTCAGCCATCAAATGCAAAAGACAGAGACGGATGACATGCTTGCCTTCATAGATTCAGTATATAAGCAATGTTCCTTGAGCTTGCTGAGAACCTGTTATGTGCTGCATAAGAGAACAAAAAACGATAAAAACTGTCTATAACCCTCTTACACCTGCGCCGATATTGAGGTTGTCTGCTGCGGTGGTGTAGCGGACGGTGGCTGCAGCTGCTGTCGCAAAGTCGCGGGTGCGACCCCGCCCGTGGCGGTCATATTTCGATGGTGGGGAAATGCTAGCGGCCCGTGCACTTGTGCGATGTCAGTGCACGTTATAGAAGACCTGAAGGTCGAAATTTCCTAAGGCCTCCACTGCGGCGTCTCTCATATAGGCCTAATCATTATGATATTGGTGTTTTGGGATGTTAAACCCCAGATATTATTATTATTATTATTATTATTATTATTATTATTATTATTATTATATTATTATTATTATTGAGCCGTGAAACGTGGGATCTTATTAATAACAGTATAGGTTACTCTGACAGCTTCCTGCTGGGGACAATAAAAATGTATATTATGAGTAAGCCCCTATGTATACGTACTAAAACACAATAAACTTGAACTTGTAAAGTGATCACCAAGGAACTGCAATGGCCACGCAAACCTTGTGAATCGTGGGGTTTTGCATGACAAAAGTACTTATAAACATGAACAGAAATTTCAATAAACCGGCTCTTTTACATTCTTCGTTCATATAAATATGATCGCCACGCCTGGTATTGAATCCGTGACCTTGTCTTTAGGTCGCTACCACTTCGGGCAATACAAACTTATTGTACGTTACATATCAGGTGCACCTTTCAAATAAATATTTAAACTAACAGGGACAGGCGAAATATTAAACGCCAATTTTTCTCGTGTCATTGTTTCTCCGCGATGTGTCATAGGTTATAGTATATTCAAACTAAGTAGCCCACCTTGCCGCCTATCTTCAGCATGAAAACATTTATTTAGTGCGGTCTTAACATGTTGAATGCCGTGTTCCAGAGCACAGTCAAAGCAGGTGTGAATCATCTAATGTTATCGCAGAAGAGGAGCATCTCCTGCACTATTGTTGGTGGTATTTCTGTGGTCCACAAGCCGTAATAGCTGGCGCAAGGACCACTCCAGTCGGATGCTTCCGATGAGACGCGTCCCGGCAAAGTTACTTGGGAGAAGCACACGAACATACATAAGAAAATTAAGATGTGCATATTCCTCCAAACGGAGCTTAGATTTTATTGCTTAGCTACAGCGTCGTGTTAGGACGCGAGGTATTTCGGGTGTCTTAGATGAGGAAGGTAAACCGCGGGTGTGATGTCATTCCGAGTGCTGGCTGCGTAAACCACCTTATCTAACTCTCAGAGCGAATACCTCACACTGAGTATTATAGTAGCAAACATTCTGCTCCGCTACCCGGAAACCTCTGCAGCCGCCGCTTTTCACTCGTTACGCGCTGTGTCCGGTGCATCAGAGAAATGAAAGAAGAAAGCCCATTACGAGACAACGCAAACAGTCACACGCGGCGGGGAGGGTGTTGTCGACCGTGTGTACATGTCATGGACAAGTAATGCGCGAAACCGCCGACGGCGCACATAAACGCTGCAGCCGCTCTGTCGTCATCCGGGTTACGGGGAGAGCGGTTCAACCGCAAACGAGAAGGTGCCGCGGAAGGCCAGCCTGAGTCGGCCCTCGTCGGCGCCCGGTCTGCCCACGCGACTGCCTCCTCGACTCGACACCGCCGACGCTAGCACACAAGTCGGCGCGGCGAGGAGTGAGACACACCGCCCGTTACTCGAGAACTCCGCGAGATGCGGCCCTTGCTTACACGATGTAGTTGCCACCGGGCGAGCCGACAGCTGCGCTCCAGGAGGCAGGCCCGAGCCGTAGCCGCACGATGAAGGGACCCCGAGTCCGTGCCACCAGACGCGACCATCCTCGATGACGATCCTGTCCGTTTGTTCGCAACGTGCGCGTGCAAAAGGCCGAGTCTCTGCGTCTTCTGACTACATGTGTGTGTGTGCTGTCTGTAGAGCGCTCGCGGGCATACCTCTGCTGCGGGAACTGCGCGTACCAATGAACGGTCGTCTCTCCCACGACATCCCGAGAAACATGGTGCCCCGTGAGAAAGCAATTCGCAGCTGCTGCTTCTGTCTGGCTTTTCTTTGTGCAATGGCAATTTTCCCAGGTAAGTTCCGAGCAGTTGTGGTGCGCCGATGAGGAAGGAGCTGTGTATTTAGCTGCAGAACGAAGGGCACGTGTTCGCTGCTGGAAGGAATACGAGTAGTCAGGGGAAGCAGGTTTGCCAGCGCAATTGACCTACGATGATTAAAAAAAGAAATCACTAAATTCAAATAACTTCCGAAAATAATAACGATAATAATAACGTAGAGAACTATGGTTCATGGGAAGAGAACGTAAGAGATGGGAGTAGACAAAGGGGAAGGGAAGACTATTCCCTATTCCCCTTTGTCTAGGGATAGCACACGTCTTCGTGGGAAGGGAGCATGTAAGGGCACTTTCCTGTACTTCGGCAATGCTGGAAGCGCATAATTTCATTTTTAAAATGTAATTAACCCATGCGAAAAATTCTGATCCCGAAATTGGACATTAGTCTCAAGCTACGTTCCACAAAGCAAGATTTTGGAGCTGTTTCTCTTTTATAGTTGCAGCTTTGGCAGCGTGGAATTCACATCGCTTACAAATGCAGATGAACTGTTTTAAGCAAAATATTTTTCAGCCTAAACAGCTTGAGATGTGTAGGAGACGACATTTGTGGTCTTCAACACTTTACAGCACAAACATAAGTCCTGTTTCATATTATCTCTTCACGCTGCTATCCCAACTTCTCAGAAAAAAAAAAAAACGAGACATTCACCTTCGATTTTCTTCGCGTTTTATTATCCGTTTACGCAAGTTTCTTTCGCATAATTTCAAGTCGCTGCTACGCCCCGCAAGGCAATCAAAAGAATTAGCTCATGAGTATTTTGAAGCTATAATATAAATGTGAAGAATTAAACCCAGCTTTATTTACAACAAATTGCAACTACAATGCTCTTCCGCACTCTTCTTAATGAAATGGAATTTTTAACCATGGCAGTACTTCAGACCACGGTTTTTTTTTTCTTTTTAAAGTTCGAGAGGGAAATTTCTACAAGCCAAGTAATAAAAGGTATTGCACAGCATTATCATGCTAATGGCGTACTGTTGCCGCCATGACAACCCGTCCGCTTAGTGCATGTTACTGAATCAATGCGTGCAGCCGCATCTCCCAGTACGGAATAGCTGTAGCGCACAAAAGCAGATGGATAACTGAAGTACACGGGCGGTAATTGGATAGGTAAGCTGTAAGACTATGCTAAATCACCCTAGCGAGAAAATCGCTTCAAAATCTAATCTGCCTATAGCTATGGTTTCATGAAGAAACAAGTATAAATAGTAAGGAAATATGTCAATTAATCGCGCCGTTGAAGAAAGGTGTGGATTTCGTTACACATTGAAACATTTCTTCAGCACTCCGCTGTATGAAATGAATAAAAAATAAGAAGGTATATGTTACGTGGACATTCCAGCAGCGTTGCTGTGTCAGTGGAAAGGACGATTGTCCCTTTACGGGTCAGTTTGACTGCTCCTGTTGAGACAAACTGACAGGAAAGTGGAGCTGCTATCCTTATATTGCACCCCCTACACCACTTATTTCTCTTGCTCTTTAAAAAAGTCCTCTCTCAATTGAGTGCTTAAAAACGGCGTTTCGTGCACTCGGTGGCTAAGGCTATTTTTTTTGCGCACCGTCTGCCGAAGTCAAATATAATGAAAGTGAATCAGCTTGCGATTTGCTGCACTCTATCCGGAACTACGGGAATATGGTATCTGTACTTATTGTATATTCACTGTATTGAATTTGTGTGTTTATGCTTTACATAGATGTACATACTGAGTATTGTGCATTATTGTGGCCTTAGTGGGGGTCGGCTCATTCAGTTGCCCCTTACCAATCAGCCACTGGATAATTGATGTATGTTTGCAAAGATGAATATTCTTCAACCTCAATTTCTACTTTTTTTTACGAAGACGTAAAAGAAGAGAGACATAACGAGAAAACACTGGCAGAACTAACGCGCTTGCGAGCGTTGGCAGACAATCAGTGATGTTGCTACAGGTGTTTCAGAACGGGCCCGACACGGCGCCTGTATCGGGTGTTGGTGCAGATGAGTTTTAGGAGCCTGCGTTGCTTTGTGGCAGGATATTTCACTGCCCCACATGTGACTTAGGTTGAAATCGCACTCGATGTTGCTTTTTTTTTTCATCATGAGTGGTTACGGTCTCTGGCGGCACTGACGCCGGCGGACAACTACGCGACAAAAATCGGCTATTTCGATCTCGCAACAGCTTTTACTAAACAACAACAACAACAACAAAAATAAAGAAGTCTAACGATGCAAAGACACTTTCCTTAACATTCATTTCTTTGGCGTGGCAGGTACTATATGGCCGAGTACGCTTGCAGCGGTTTGACCACTCTAGAAAAGTAAACATGGTTTCATTTTTTTTCCTTTTCTTTGCGTACATGTAACGATGACGCAATTTAATGAAGAACACCTCAAAACGCCAGAATTTTTTTATAATTTTAGAAGCACTATCTATTGTAAAAATGTTTATCGGAAAAAAATCACTAATATCTGTTTGGCACTATAAAATAGGATCGTGGCATAACGATTATAGCGCCGCTCACGTCATGCTCGCCTCGTTGGATTTCCTTCCGTTGATATATATTCACCGTTTGCGCTCCCCTCTCGCGTAGTTCCCCTGGCGGCGTCGCCACAAATTTGGGTCTCAGCGAAGTTCTCTTGCGTGGATGTGGCCGGACCATTATCAGAGGGGTACTAAGCGGTGACTATCATTCACCGGGATGCTCAGGTCAATGAGCTCTCCTTCGAAGCCCCAGACTCAATGCCAGCAGAAGTATAGTAATAGCAATAGCGTCCTCTGATTCCAGATACAATACGGTTAACACTAGCCTGCTTTCAATACATGAAAGGGGAGGCGGTACTTCTAGCGCAGCGAAATTTTGTAAAATATCGAGACTTAGAGCATCTAGTCCAAACGAATTATCTAGACTCCAAGACATTGGCGTTTTAGGGGTGATGAGACTGCAGACACCATATCCCAAACGCTTACCTGCCGCGCGTCTAACTCCCCAATTCTTGAGGACTTGGAGAACAGGACACCACTACAGGACACCACTACTGGGTAGATTTGAAAAGTGGCCAGAACTCAAGCTAAAAGTAGCCAAAGTAGCCAAGCCAGCCAACAATAGCGCCAAATTCCTAGCCAAAGAGTCAGAAGCGATTTTATGAAAGAGATCTTTATTATTGAACGATGAATATAATTTCGAATCTACAATAAAGTATAAATACGAGCGCAGTTCTTATCTTCGCTTACGCATTTTTCAAGCCACCAGCAAGTTGCAATTAAGTGAGCAAATTATGAGTTCCCTGCATGTAGTCGGCATGTATACGTGAAACAGATGGATCAATTGCCAGAGAAAGAGAAGATTGGAACATTCGAGTCAATCACTCAGAAAGAACACTAAGCGTTGAAGCACGTCGTGCTTGAAGTCGCGTACAGAAAACAACTAGCAGGTATCAAAATGCCAGTCCAGTTTCGATCAGTAAAATCTGGCTTAAGATGACTAGTACAGCTTCCTTCGGTTGCGGATATTTCTATTTGTCATGTTGACATGACAACACCCGTCCTGCAACAGCATTGGAAATTGACTCGTACCGTCAGCATCGATAGCTGGCAGCGCGAACAGCATGCCAGCCGAAAGGCACACTTCAATTTAAGTCTTTTTTTGCTGGTGTATTACGTCCGCATATTTAATTTTTGTTGAAGCTTATAAAGCCACCTCATATAAGCCAATACTTGTGTGGGTCATATTGACTAGGCGAACAAGAATTTCATTGGCAGGTGCACCACGCATTCCTTTGAGGTGCTTGATGAGCACTGCAGGAGGAGGGTGCACTCATGTTTCAACTGACAAGTCAGAAAATATTAGAAACAAAGCGTGATCATTAGGCTCACTCGGTATTGTCTCTGCAAATAATAACGAGAATGGCTACTAAATGCGCCAAGAAAAATATAAAGATGCAAACAAGGGAGGAAGGTTAACCAGACGCACATCCGGTTTGCTACCCTACACTGGGGAAGGGATGAAGGGGAGAAAAGAGGTTGCAGAGAGATAAGAAGGTACACACAATCACGAGCACACTCGGGGGAGCACACACAGTCTACAGGCGGTCGCTTAGGTTTGTTGTCTTTAAGTAAAGTAGGAGTACTTTAGTCGCTTTTTGCGCAACTGAGGCAGATGCCCAAATAGAAATTTAATGTAGTCAGAAAGTAGCCATGCCGCCAACATGAAAGTTTTGTTGCCACCGGGGTAGCCAATTCAGCGCAAAGCACCAACAACTACCCTGCATGCAAGCGCTACGGTACTTCTGGCGCTTCATTGACCTTTCTGAACGCCAACACCCTTTGTGTTTATTTGTTTTCTATTCACTTTCCCTATATTTCTGTCAATGTTTCAAATACTATATCCCCATCCCAATGTCGCGTAGCAAAGCGGATACTTGCATTCGATTAAACTATTTGCTTTGCCTTTTCCTCTCTCTCTTTCGGCAGCATCGTCATGGTTTTGATCGCGATGATACTTGAAAGGAGAACCGGGCCTTGGTCGAGATGATGATCATATCATCTTGCTAACGGTACTCAACCACAAAGGGGGATAGGCCAGAAACAAGATGGCAGGATCTTTGAGTTAAATTTATGAAGCTAAAAATTAAACACTGTAAAGTTAGATTAAAAAAATATAGTTAATAAATGAAAATTTTATACAGCGAACAGATGTTCCTAAGTACTTCTTCTACTTCCTCTGTAGTTTCTTAGATTAGCAACTTCTTCCTTGGTGATGACTCTTATTAACTTCATTCAATCTCTCTCAGTCCTTGTATATAATCTTGAAGATGCACCGAAAGCATTCTCTACGAAACGAAGTGTCCGGACAGATGTCCCTACCTGAGGCAAGACCACGTCACATCCTCTTGCGTCTACTTCAACCAAAACTCAAGGCGGGCTGACCTCAGCATATTTGACGAAGACGAAGCGGTCATGGGTGATTTCTGTTTGTAT